AGGATATGGAGTGGAGTGTAATCGAGCGTGAGTACTTAGGAGTAGCCCGCGCTGATCACTTTGAGTGAAAAATCACACCATGAATCAATGATGTTAATACGTGCGTTGCCCCTGCGTTCCCGTGTTGGAGCGAATCAATCAAAGTTCCATTTCAAATTGCTCGCTCACACTGTCAGCCCGCTGATTACTCAGGATGCAGCCAAAGGGTAAGTTAGTTCAGCTGTAGATATCTTCTCAGGCCTCTTTAGCCCCTTAGCCCCTTATGCGAGCTCCGGCCATTCGAGGACCCCTGATTACTTTTATTCCCACGAAGCCTCCGTAGATCCTGTCAGGGATGCTGCTTTTCAGATGTTGAGGCGATACTGAAACCACTGTACGCAAAGTTCGCAGAGTACGACAAAACTGGTGACAGTGAGGCCGCTGCCAAGTTTTATCATAGCCAAGGAGTCATCGTGAAGAAGGGCAAGAAAGCCACTTTTGGGAGAGAAGGGTTAGGCGCGATTACTATATTGATTACTTTTTATCATCATTTTATCACATTTATCATATTATTCATATTATTATGTGCTGTCTAACTTTCTAATATGCCTTTCACTGCAGAGATCATTAAAATGTACAATGAGTTCTGGGAGAAGGTTGGTCCGCACGAATTTTTGGTCAGTGATAGACTTCTTTCTGGAGTTTCCATAACTTCGAATTTCGGACTTTTATTTTCTTCGAATAGTGATGGAATTAGAAGTGCACGAAAAATCGGCTTGCAAAGCAATTTTTATTTCAGACAAGCAATGAAACCTACCAGGGTACGGATGACTATTTGATGGCTCAGTGCGACTTTGAGGTGCGTCCGGAAAAAGGAAGCGCCTTCAAGGGCAAATGTAACCATATTTGGAAGAAGGAGGACGGAGAGTGGAAGATTTATCACGAAGAATTTGAAACGATTTAGAACATTTCTGCAGCGTTTTTTTTGGCCCGTATGTTCAGTTATTTCGCATTTCCACATTTTCACAGACATATAAATTCACATAGCACCTGAACGCTAAATAAAAATACTGCTCGACTAGTTACCGCAATCCGCCTACGACACACAAATGTTAACTAAGAATGAAATGCACACTGTGCGCTTAAAAATGCACTGCCACCCTCTCAGTGGCGACAAGCCTACAGTCGCTGAATTGCTCACTAGGGGAGAAAAAAAAGCAAAAAAATTATGGAGAAACACCCTAAATAGGGACCTAGCAGCCACGGTGGACGAGTTTTCCGGCCTGCTCGTTTCAAGCCAGCAAAGCGATGTGCTGCTTTTTTGCTCCTTCATCGTTTCTTCGCCCCGTAATGTTAAAGGAACGGTCTGCGATGACCTATGAAAATGCAAGAGGTTATGTGGGAAGGTAGTGCGGTCCGGAGTGGACAACCCTGTGCCAGTTTCGCGGCGGAAAGTTGTACGGTAAAGGGATTAAGGCGCAAAGTTGCTTCAGTGGTACATCCCTTTTCCAGTGACTCCGCCTCCAAAGTCGGCCTTCCAGCCAAAAGTAATGCTCCCGGGCAAGTATCATGGAGTGGATGCATTCATGTCTCTTGTAGAGTCATAGGGTTCATTACTGGGAATCAGCCGACGGGAATCGTCCCAGCGGTCTTTTCGGTCTTTTACCTCTACAGTTGTTTGAGGCTAGAGGAGGCCTGACGAATGCGTTTCCAACGTTCCCTTTGGCATTTTCTCTTCATAGACGGTTCACTTGGCGAATTTTCTTCCACATTTCTGCAAAACCACCTAAACCTTTTACCGCAGATCGTGTTCGATCGCAGGTCTCTAAACTCCTTAGTCGGCTGCAGAATTTAGGCAGATGTTGGCGAAATGCTAGATGGGTTACGACCCTGATGTGGGTTCTGATGACCCTCTATCCTAGTAACCCGATGATGTTCCCTGTATGGACTGAAATGAACCGGTTATCATTACCGTAGTACTGACTGGTTTTTAGTTTTCCTTTCCCTTCATATTGGTTTTTTTGGCATAATAAGATTATCCCATTTTCGGTCTTTTACCTCTGCACTTGTTTGAGGCTAGAGGAGGCCTGACGAATGCGTTTCCAACGTTCCCTTTGGCATTTTCTCTTCATAGATGGTTCACTTGGCGAATTTTCTTCCACATTTCTGCAACATCACCTGGGCTTTTTATCGCGGACCGCACCTTTAATATGCCTGACAACAAAAAAAAAACGAAAAACACGGCGTAAAACTAAGTTCCTGACAAAAATAGCATTTTAGTTTCAGTGGGCGGAACGATTAGGCGCAGCTGCCACTTCTGAAGACCTCGCGACTTCAGGATAATCTCAGAGAATAAGGACCAAACTAATTGTATGGTGAGGACGCTTATGAGTGATTTGAGCGCGTGGACTGTGTTCAACTCAGGAGGACCCATAATAAGGATCGATCAGGAACAACACAGTTTACCTATTGTGAGCTCTCTAACGCGATTGTGCTGAAATCTAAAGCGTTTCAGGAGGCGTGGCGACGTAAGGAGGTGAGACGACAGATCGGTTCTTCTTCGTGCTAAGCTCTGCACCGTTTCTGCCTGATCATCGTCACTTTCTGGATCTTGGTACGACAAAGGGGCATCTTGTCCTTTGTCCCTTTGGGCCTCGATCCCTACTTATTAGCGCTCATGCCGGTTCTGCTATCAGCGCTGAGATGTACTGCGAACAGTCGGTTCGAGGGGCAGCTCAGCTGATTGGAAGGGATACAGAGCAAGTCTCCTTGTTGCATGACCGTGCTCGCTCACATATAGCTACGCTCCGCTTTCTCCATCCAGGTTCACATCCTAACTCACCTTACGTGGATAATGGGGCAGTTCGGCGACGGTGGGGTGGGGGGCATTTTGCACTTTGCTACTTCCCATCGACGTGTCGACCCATCTAGACAGCCTCTTCTCGAGTTGACAGGTTTTACCATGATGGCTTGACGAGCTTGCTCCAGCTTCACAAGAGTTCACAGGTTTCACCAGAGTGAGACTTGTAAACCGGAACTAGTGAAGCAACGAAAGTGCAAGCGCCCCTGTCGCCGAATTGCGCCGTGCATAATACTCGTAATAACTAATAACTCTGTAGAAGCATAACGTTGTTCAAAGTTCATGCAGCGTATATATGTGCATGCACGAAGATGGATTGGTTCGTTGTTGACGATTACGTAGGTACTACATTCCTGACTTGCTTGCCAAACAGGTTACTCAGTAATAGATACAAAGGCTACCGAGGACTCTTTGCTTATCAGTGTTTGACAGGTGCACCGTCTTGTTCTTGTTTTTATGTCCACGTAGCCTCTCAATTACTACATTCCATGGGTAGTAAATAGCTATGGCCGTCCCCATTTTAATTGCTTTTGAGGAGCTTCATCTCCCATTTTCACCTTCTGTTCCTATATAGGTAAAGCAGGAGCACTCTGAGTTAAACGATCCTGGGATGCGCCTCGCGTTCAACTAGTGTTTAGAAATGTAACGACATCCAATCCCCACAAAACAGATTCATGTTACTTGCTTGCTTGATCAGTAACACACCATTGTTTTTTGCCGTTTTGAGCAGGGGCAATGGAAACCGTGGCCAACCGATGTGAAGTCAATGTTTCTGTCCCAGGTACGAATCCGCGCATTCACGAAGTGACAGAACCCTTCCTTGGCCAGGTGATTAGAGCTGGATCCCCAGGTTATGGTTGCTTTCGCTGCACACTTTGTTCCTTTCTACACGTTTCTTTTTTTGTATCCTGCATTTCTCACTGCTTACTGCGCGACTCACGTGTTGGTAGCCTTGATTGATTCCCATTGACACCTCTTGGCACCTGGAAAGAGATGAGTACACTTCTTTGCTTCGACAAGTAGATCCGTCCGTGATCTCGGAGATTGCCCCGCTTTTGCGACTCTACAGTAGGTGATGGGGCGTTGCAGTCGAACTAAGCCGAAGAACGCTACCCTTAAAAGTAGCGTTGACCGCTTGAGGACGGCATGTGCGAGCTGTCCTAATTTTGACAAATTCCGCAGAAAGCAAGTGGGCGTGGCCAAGGGGGCGGAGCCTAAATTGCCGGTGCATAAATGCGCGGGTACGAGTATCTTCGTTGTGCAAAGAGTGGATGTGAAATTAAAAAGTTGAAAAAGTTATGAAATTTCGAAGTTCGCAACAAACCCTTTGAAGAATGGGCGGAGTCGGCCATGTGTTGAAAATCTATGTCCGCGCTGACAAGTAGGCGTGACCGTCGGGGCGGGGCTCGCAGTGGTGTCTGGCGTGATCTGGTTGGTGAACTGCCCGGTCTAAAAAGAGTGGTGAATTTGATTTGAAAAGTGGTGAATTTGGTTTGAAAAGGGGTGAATTTGGTTTGAAAAGGGGTGAATTTGGTTTGAAAAAGGGTGAATTTGGTTTGAAAAAGGGTGAATTTGGTTTGAAAAAGGGTGAATTTAAAGTGAAAATGGTATATATGCGAGCTTCCCTGAGAAGAAGTTTGGCACTTTGGTGATTGTCTTATCAGGGCACATCATCAGGCTAAGGGAATTTTTTGCAAAGTTCAGCACCCCCTCCTGCGCAAAGTCGTTTCCGAAGCCATCGGCAATTGTAGTTTACCGAAACAGAAGAAATCAGCGAGAACATTTAATAACATATCTCTCATCAATTTTCTCCATCAATTGTTTTTGTTTACCCGCTTCAATAAGTGATGGAGGGACTTGCGCCAGGTCATTAAGAATGCTAATATCATTTGTGGTTCCTGTTAAGGGTCGAACGCATTGCGCATCCCGAGCACTCCCTTTCATTCACATCCATTTCCTCCTTTCTTTCCCACCAAATCCTTGAATACATTGGTTAATATTGGAATTGCGCTTTTCTACTAAGGATACGTCCCCTTATGGTTTATTGAGCGAAGCAGATAATTTGATACTTTCCATACATATTTCGCATGTAAATACCGATCAATACGATAATACGAGTGCGTTTCAGTTTGTTTGGTGACCAGCAGCAGCTGCCTAGACAACGGTAGAGCAGAGCAATATGCAGGCCACAGGGAGTGAGTTGAGGAGTTTTGCCTCGGAAGTTAGCCTCTTCGATCGGTCCAGAAAACTCAGCTAAGCCATCACGTTGTGCTCTGAGCTTTGCTTGTTCAGAGTTAGACCACTTGGAGATAGTAAGAACGGACCCTGTTAGAAGGGACCTATATGCCTACACAGTGTCTGCCTGCGGATGCTGAGGCGTGTAGGAGAGGTATCAATTTACCTCGCCCCTTAAATAACCGTGGACGAACAGGCTCCGTGCCAAAGACCAAACCCCATGTGCCTCCTGAGACGCCTAAACATCCTTTCAGTTCAGAAGCTGTACCTCAAGGTTGATCATATTCATGCTTGAGGTGGGCAGGTTCGCAGCAGTAGGAGGGTATCGCTTTCTCCACTTGAAACTGTGTAAAAGTGATGCTGGACCATTATGATGCCTGTGTTTCGTTTGTAGCTCTGCCTGCAAGCAAGTACCTAAACAGAGCTCGCCGAAACACGCAGCACGACCAGCTATACGTCTAGCTATAGTCACCCCCTCTCGTTTCAATGGGCGGCCGTTTTTTTAATAGCTCTTGAGCTGAGTACTTGGACAGCGTGGCAATATTTTTTGTCGACAGTCTCGCGGAATAAAGGGTTATGAACATGCCTGCGCATAAGCTTGCGTGCTGATGGCACATTTGTGGCTGATAAGCGAGGAAGGCATAGAAGACAGCATAACGATATGCTTAGCAAACGTGCATTAAGGATCGCATTTAAGAACCACCGAATAAATTAGGTTTTTTGAGGGCAGGTAAACGCGGTCAAAGCTTGTTCGCAGCGAAGAAGAACGCTGCATGCTCGCCGACCAAGGAGCCCAGGCAGTAAGAACCATTTTTTAAGAACTTCGGCACAGTCCGGCTTGATGGGAAGGGGGGGGGGACCCGTCCGCA